AACGAAAATTCAGTCCGGCACTCGGTTCTTACAGTAATCCGGCCCGTGTTAATACGCATATTTTTACCCGTCACATATACGACGCGTCGAAAAGGGGCTTTGGGCAAGGACAATAAGCCAGGGTATTACTGTAAGAGCCGAGTGCCGGACTGAATCTTCATCTTAGTAACAAAAAATGATTAGGCATGTCCCTTCTTCGTAAAATATGATAGAAAATACTCGGAGAGGGGAGGGAGGGGAAGGGGGAGGGAGTCCAGCTGAAAACGTATACTGTCCTGGCCAAAAAAGTTACCAAGCACATTACAGGTCACAAAGCCGGCACAACTCATTCTTTGCGCTCTAGCCCCTAATGTTAGCTTATGCTTACGTTTTTTTTTTTGTTCTTATGTTTTGTTATATATCTCGTATGGAGAAACCACGACCCGTTCCGTGTTCCTGCATAAAGGCCGTTTGAGGATCTCTGACGCGCGCGGTCGCGAAGCAATCAACCGGTAATAGGATTGCGAAACAATTCATCGCCTACTCTCAACACGAATCCTTCCTATTTCTGAAGTGTTCTAGAGAATATCTCACCCCCTATGCAGCCTGAATTCCCTCATCCATCGGTACTTTGCGGTCACCTAAATACTATTTTACCCAAGTTAAGTGACGATATCATTGGCTCTACTTGAAATAGGCATCACGAACAAGCTATCTAGCCGGCTAGATTTTGAGCTCGGATACAACCAAACCTTGCACCTTAGCAATAAATAAATAATAACAAATAAAGAATGACGTGCACACCGACTATTCACGACAAGTGACTCCTTAAAAAGGGAGATAGAAATAGGTGTGAAAAGTGCTAAATTTCCCGAAACTCTCCAAACTTCCTATTCCCATCGATAAATTCGTTCATCTACTTTGAGAGGAAATCTGGCACTCTAAACTACAAATAAGTCAGAAATGAATCTAGCCGTGCCGTGGAGACGATGATGAAAAGCAAACAACACTGAGCGCTGCTAATTTCTAAGAGAGAGCAAATAGAAATTATGACGTCAGCAACTAGAGATAGCGTTATAATAAGGTAAGATAAGCGAGAAATTTTAGATCAGTAATCTAGCTCTCACTTACCTTTCTTCCCGAATAGATGTACCACAACGGATCCTACCAACACAAGCAAAAAAAGGGACGGTTTTTGCAAAAATTTTATTTTAATTAAGTATGCAGTGACATCGAAAGAGTAAGTGAGTATCTGAGTAGCTAACATAATTAAGTAGAAATACTCTTATAGTCGGGAATAAAAAAGGAAATACAAGCGAAATTGAACCGGAAGAACAAAAGCACCAATTCATATAATTAAAGGAACACTTCAAGGAACGATGGTACCCCATTAACCAAGAAACTCTGCTTTTTCAGCTTGTTTGTACAAATCAATGAGCTCCTGTACTCTTTCAGCAGAACTGTCCATCATGTCGACAGAGAAACCTTCCTAAAACCGAAAAAAATTGGAACGCGAGCAAGGATAGAATCATGTCGAACCTTAACAGATTCAACCAGAGCAAAATAAACAGACCTCTTTTTGGAATCGATCGATGAACGCGTTTTTGCTACGAAGGCGAGCAAATTGTTGATTAATTCGTTCAAACAATGGGGCGATGCTTGTACTGTTATTTAGCATCAAACCGGATACCTGAAGGCGAAGCAATCTCGATATAAGCCTGTGATGGCAAAAATCGTGTAGTAAACGAGAAAACTCTGTATCAACCACTGAATTTAAGCCATACCGACGAGCATTCCCCCAATTGAGAAAGAATCAAAAATTATGAACCCATCAGCCCAGAGAAAAATGATTCAGAGATCAAGGAAGTGGGCTCGGACGTAGCTGAATAGAGCCCGCCCCTTGACACCTCTTTTTTTGAAAATGTTTTCAGTGAAAATTAGGTGACACGCCTATTGGGTCATTCAGAGAGAAAACCAAGGAGGCAGCACAAAGAGATAGTAAGGAAGTTTGAGAAAAAAGGGTAGAGTACCAAGAATAGGGCGTTTCAAGTGGAAGGAATTAGGAGCGAAAAAAGAAATCTGTCATGAAAAGTGATCTTTTTTTTTTGCTCAATATTTTCCTGAACGCCGACGCGGGATACCTACCTTGTATTGAGGTTTGATGTATGGTGACGATGGTGTATGCAAAATTCGCAAAGGATTCGTGAAATCCCATGGTGCTCGATGAATCGCATTGATCGACTGCTGTAATATAACAACAATTGAAAAAAAAACAACAAAAAAGAATGTAAACAATCTCAACAGAAACCATCGAAAAGGTAATGCTAGGTTGTAACAACCGCATGGCTGCTTTCAGACTTCGACGTCAACCGTCTAGCGCGTTGCGGGCGTGCGACGGCGGCTCTAGCCACTTGATCACATCACTGAATAACTGGATCACGTGCCAAAAAGTGGCTAGGGCAGCCGTCGCACGCACGCAACGCGACCGCAATGCGCCGGACGGTCGGACGGACTGACGGACGGACGGATGAATCGTTGCAGTCTAAAAGCAGCCATTGCGCTCATTCTATACTTTACCAGTTGAGTGACTGACTATCAAACGAAGTATAATAAGTACACTTAGACAAGAAAACTCACATGACCGGATAAGCATACAGTGTTCACGTCTGTAGATGTAATCTGCCCTTGCAAGAATAAGAAAGCGGAGAGCATACAGTGTTCTGGTTTAGTCATACTGGCTGTGGATACCTGTAACGCAAGAACTGATCATTAGGAGAAAATAACAAATCCCCTATCAAATGCAATGCTTTCAACATACCATCATTGAGCTCGGCTTCAGCAGATTACGAACCACATCCACAACCGATGTTTTCCTTGTGAAGGACTCATTAGGGTCTACGACCGGGGAAAATCCTGCAAAGAAAGAGGATAACCCGACTTTTTTATAGCTTCTACATTCGTCCTGCGTTACTATAGGGCCCTCTTAAGTAAAGATCTATCATTGATTCTATGACGTTACATCCAAAGCAATCATCCCATGTGATAAGCAAAGTTCTACTCTTACAGCGTACGGTAGCTTCAAGAAGAACGGTAGTTTAAGAAGCTAATTCGTTTCCGGCTGTGAAGAACATAATGAAATACGGAAACAATCGCGGAAGAACTGAAGTGAGGGCTACTTTCAAAGAATTTCAGATACGAGTCGTCAGTGTAGGTGGAAGTGGTAGCCCTGGAGGCGCTCATGATTACCAACGAAGAAAAAAGCTTTTCTTCGTTAGTAATCCTTAGGCTTTTCGGCGGCTTGGTAGCTTTCCCATTTCGTACTCAATGCTTTTGGAAGACCATACCATCCAGTAATGTCGATGGAGAGGACAAAACAATTACACATACAGAACTTTTTCAGTAGACACGAATTAGGCAACACCCTGGTTACAACGGAGAACTGATCAAAAATATAAAAGTCTCGACTACCTGCTTGGATAAAGTGCAATGGCTGTATGGGAGACAATGACACAGAACATATTGATCTGAGGACATGAGAATCGAAGCGGAACATTGCCGTTGATGTTGACATGATACGAGTCACCTGAATAAGAATAATTCACGAAAATTCCAAGGAATCGTGGAAACAATTGTTATAGGGAACTGGAATGAACTACTCAATTTTGAAAGTGAAAATGTGTGCATTAGAATTTGGACGAATATAAAACTAACTAATGAGTTGATATGGTCAAATGTCGGCTGTTGGGTTTCGAACTTTCCAGCGGCCAGCCTGTTCAGAGCAGCGTTATCGATAACAACAACATGATCTGTAAAGAAAGGTTCAAAGATGGTTAGAATGCTCATGGTCAAAAAAGCCATGAAACTGTGTGCTTCAAGATCAGTCGGTATTTTTACATTGCTGAACGAAGATGATTCAGGAAGTGCGATTACTCGGCCCTTACCACCAACCCCCTTACGACGCAACTGCAACAAATCTCTAACCTCCCCTATAATATTTAGAGGATGCTTTCCCTCTTCAGGTACTATATAGAACACTTGTTGCATGATCAACCAATAAAATTAGCAAATAAAAGGACGGCCAAGATGAACAGCATTTGAATAATCAAGCTGATCCCTACGAGTTGCAAAATAGTAGCCAAGACATATCTGACCTGGGAAATCAATCAATCTTTCCATAGATAATACGGAATTATAAGGGTGAACAATGACATCGCTGGTGTCTTCATGATTTGCAAACACAGAATACGTCTGGATGACTTTCTTCGGAAACCTGGAACGATCTAACTTCGTCTGATAAACACAGGAAACAAGGATAAGGTCAACAACAGTACTAGAATGAAACAAAAGAAAACTGTGATGACCGCACCTGTCTCGTATTTTTTCCAGGATCAGCGATCCCATACCAGATCCTGTTCCACCTGATACGGAATGGGTGAAAAGAAACCCGTCCATCTGGTCGCTATTTTCCGATTCACGTTCAATGATATCCATGATTTGTTCGTATACCTCCCTGAAGCATTCGATTTACGAGCCACTTCATAAAACTGGATAGGATTGCATGGACAGAGCCAATTAATTTCTATAAGATGGGACAGCATACCCGCCTTGCCCATAGCCGCTTGCCCAATTATTGCCGGCACCACCTCCATGCGTGGACATGTAGATGTTATCGGGATTGAAAAGCCTACTGAAATTCTCGTTGGTCATGATTCCATTGATCACTCGTGGCTCCAAATCAACCAAGACCGCACGAGGAACATAATGATCGTCATCAGCCTAGATGAACTTCGTTGAAAATTTTTCCTTCAATGCATTTTTTTAAATGGCGAACCTGATAGAAAAATACGTCCTTGTTGTCATGAACACTTTCTTCACATGTCATACGACCTCGTCTGGAAAATGATATTCAAACTCAGAACCAGCGGCCGTCATCACAGACTTGGGGTATACGTGGAGTGGAGTTGAAATTTTTCGGCATAAAATGTTTCCACGTGATCACCCAAGGTTTAAGATTAGCTCAAACAGTGAATTAGTACCGAAAAAGACCTGATCAGTCTGACATTAAATTGATCACTTTAGCTTTTAGCAGAGTCAGCAACAAAACCCTTGCCCAAAAATCTAACAATCCCAAGTAAACCAAAAATGTCTTCTTAACTACAACCACTGCATGCCACAGTAGAATGTCATAGCTGTAGCAGTTGACCAAGCCCAACCACTAGTGATATCCCTGCACAACATCTATCTCGGCTATTAGATCGAATGCAGGCTTGGGACCCAAGCTTTAACTCAATAACATCTTTTGGACGAGCTCTTGGTCATACTACTGCTATCACCTCTCCCTACGCAACTTGTTTTTTGAGGCTAAGATTTGTATCCGTGCATGTAAGAATGGAAAAATGATGCTTGAGATGTGATATTAGGTACAATGGTGTATTAGAGTATTTCATACCCATCAATTGCGTGCTCATCACAAAGCGTTTTCCAAAAACTCTGACCAATCTGGTTGCCACATTGGCCGACATGTATGGACATCAACTGACCATGAGACATCTGAAGGATCGTCTAAGAATGATCTCAAGGCAGCAGGGGTTTGTGTTAAGTATTACAAACGAGCGCACATTATCAGCATAAAGAAGCATGCCTAATATAAAGCTTTATAAGAAACAATATATCAACATAACAAATGGAAGCAAATAACAATAACAACACGTTCGTCATGCCATACTTGATTTACCAAACTCCTCGTAGCTGGCTTCGAATTTTTCTCGTATACATGCGAAAACCTGAACATACAACTTATACGAATAAGGGAAACGTTCGAACGGTATAAGATTACTGTAACATACCGTTTCCAGGTGAGCGAGGGCTTCTATCAAAACAGTTTCTGCTACAACGCCTTTTTTCGTTTGAACACGTAGCAAAATTTGATCTTCAAGGGGATGTGGTATGTTGTATCCAGCAAATGTAACATCTTTCCTAAAAGCACCCTTCAAGAACTTCTCAAACCAAAAAAAAANAAAAAAAAACTTGCATATCTGCTTGCTTTGAGTTTCTTGGATTAAACGAAAGCTCTTCAATTTAAGTCTCACATTCTACAGAGTATGTGCTTCAAAGCATTGCCGATTGTATGATCTTCTTCTCGTAATAGTAGTGTTAAACAAGTTGGATCTTCATTGTAACTTGCTTCGTCAAGCTGAAAAACAAACTCATCGATGTTTACCATAAAATTTATACAAATCGACTCGGAGTTATAATCTTACAAAGTATTCTGCTAACAAAATTTTTGCCTTAAGCATTCCAAGTTGTGCGGAATTCTGTTCATTGAACCTCCTGAATTCCAAATTATGTTTGAAAATGGAACAGAGCTAGCATGCCTAGATGAGAGAGAACAATACATGGGACCCAAAAGTTCCAAAATCTGAGGCTTGCGGTCATATGCGCAAACAAAATGAAACAGACTTTGCCTATGTTATCGAACGGAGAGTTCAGTTGGATCATTTACAGTAAATTGTCAAAACGCTAGGACTTAGGTCATATCAAATGTAAGTCTCAAAGCATGTGAATAGCATCATATCTTGGAATATATGCGAGCGTTTGAGCTGAGAATGAAATCCGCTGAACAGCAGCATTTTCTGGATCTAACTCATACTAAAACCTTGTTCTTTTTCACTCATCACTTTGCTATGGAAGAACTAATGCACAAGATTATGAAAACTATACGCGCACCAAGGGGCTCTTAATTTTTTTTCTTCCCGATTTCTTTCTCTAAGATGTGAGCTGGCTATAGAAAAGTTACCACTAATGAATTAACAAAATTTAACATTACTACAAGGTCAAGGGAATGACATAAAAGTGAAGATCGCCAGTAAAGATTGGTGATACTCGTGACATTCGGCCTAATGATTAGGCAAGGGAAATTTGTAGTCTGTACTCCAGATTCCTGGCTATGTTCGAATCATCGTGAGACGAATGCTCTGTCTTGCTTTGATTTCTCAAACTTGTTCCTGTCTATTTTTTACAGTTTTTGCCATCGCCTCACGTGCCATCATTTGAAAAGTTGAAATAGCCTAGACTTGACCATTCAAAACAGTCATTCTCGACCCGATAAAAGAATCGAGATGTACTTAAGATTTCGATTGCCTGTTCTACTTTTTCATGCAGATATCATACCCAGCACATGATGACACCAGAGGATTTGGGTTCTGTTAGCTCCACTACCGGGACATTGCACAACAACTGGTATGTCCAGGAGTATTTCTGAGGTTTATTCAATGCTCTTAGAAGCACTCTTTTGTCGAGCGTTCACATGTGGCGACAGCTAAAACTCAGACTCACTCAGCGCCGCTCATACCCCAACATCCTATCCTCTTCAGTTATATCGAACTGAATTGATATAAGATAAATGAGCACCTTTTACCAATTCTTGAGACTTCGTTAGAGTCTTCGAAAACTATTCGTCCTTTGACAAAACCTATCAGCAAACTACATCTATTATAACAAGCAAAGCTTAAGCATAAGCTTACTTTGCATGTGAGCATGACCAAGATAATGAAAAAGCTGCTCAATAAAGCTTAGAATCATGGAAAGGTACTGGATTTATAATGCCTAACAATTGGCACACTAAATATCTCTGTGGAGGCTTAGAAGGAACTGGATTCGCCGTCTTATTCCCGTGGACAATATAAGTAGGCGTAGTCCCGCTGACTTCCACTTTGAGAAAGAGAGCAAACTATGCAACAAGCAGTATAAAATTCGGAAAAAAACTCACTATTTGAATCTTGGGCTTCTCCATTTCTGGAGGGCAGCTTCGGCAACTAGTCGGTGAGCTGCCTAAAAAGGTAATAGACACGGCTGAAGAGTCCATCATAGGGCAGCTCGGTTCATCATCCGATAGCGTCCCACTGATGAACTGCTCAAACGAATCGTTAAGGGAGGAGGGTGGACCAGCGAATATGTGAAATAATGGTCCAACCTCTCTTTTATACAGTTTAGTGCACAGGACTGTAAACTATGCGCGCGGATCTCATTTCAGAACGCATCAGATGACAATCATATCGCCCCCACAACAAATTCATTAGGTCTCATACATACATCCCCAATCGAAAAAGGTCCTAACAAACGATACTGGCCAGAAAAAGCTGTCAGCAGTTCATCGTAAATACAAAAAACAGTTTCTTTCACCGTTTCTCACATTAAAAGATAAGGCGCCGCAACTTTTAAGCGATGTAATGTACACCTCAAATAGCACATTATCGAGTTTGTAAATGTTTATCCAGTGGGCACATTGGGGACAAACAATGTGACGAGTTCGGATGGAAGGACGATAAACCGGCATAGCGCTTGCAGAACATCAAAATAATTAAACCTCAATAGGATAAAACTTGTACCAGAAACCAGAATATCGTTTCATATTACATTTTGGAAAGAAAATCATTTTAGGACCGTAAAATTATGGAGCAGCGTATAGAGAAATGAACACAACATTCAAATTTTTAATTAGGGTTTCTGGTAGCATATCATAGGAACCGTCAATATCATCACTCCTCCTGGCTTCTGCGAACACATGCAGCCACTCGTTTCTTGAACTCAGAATAATTCTCTCGTTGCATTTTCTGGAAAGCAGATGAGCCCACATTTATCTTGGAAAGCAAAATCGGTAACATGAACGTACCGCGGCATCAACATTAGCAGGTGACTCAAAGTTGGGATCAGCTAGCATAGAAATAACGGACAATAGTATCGTCTCAACCGTGTGTACGGGAAGCCAACGTTCCTCAGGTCGTTCATAACCCCACCTGAACATTCGCTTCTAATTAGACGAGCAACACTAACCCGGAAATGTTATCAGGAAAAACCTATTCGAACTGACTTGTCATCCCCTGGATCGTGAAGAATTGAAATGCAAACATTCCCTTCCTTGTCAACTGAAAACATAAGTGACTTTTCAGGAATGGAGAACTATTTTCTGTAAGATAGAAAAAAAACAGTGGACAAAATTAGCAACAGAAAAGAATAAGTAAAGACTCCACAGATCAATGACAAGGCAATTGGAAAAGAAAAAAAGCAGCAAGAGCGCTGACTTTAATAAGTTTAAGGGGTACTTAGAATTAATTGCAATTCTCAAAAATTGAATTTGTTATATACATATGTTACACCTTGATGGAACTTATTGTGAAGCAATTCAAGAAAACGAATATCAACGCCATTCCGGCTAACGGCATGGAAAAATACCTGCTAAAAGGCATAAATTAAAACCAAAAAGGTGTTTTTAGGCACTTTCTGAGCGAGGACGGCCCAAATGATTATGGTGGGAGAAAATGGACTGCTGCATATTGAACTGTTCTTTAGTAACAACAGAACGAATCCAGCTTAAAACACAAACAAGTGAATAACAAGTAAACAGTAAACATCAGCTATCATTAAGTGGACTCACTATTTGGATGCCAGATTTCCGATACGAACTTCATTTTCGGTGGCTTCTGCGGGTAATCCTTTGGAAAATCTAGTATGGCCTTGAAGAACCCACCCTCACTAAAAAGTTCGATAAGTACGAGACTGGTCTTATATAAAATTAGCTAAAAAAAGTAAAGTCTTGAAAATTGGGACTCTCAAGCAAATAAATGAAGTTAAGCATAAGCTGAGGGTCTTGCCAAATAAGAAAAAGAAAGGGCAGCAAACATGTAATATAAGCAAAAAAATAAGGGAAGTAAGTAAGGTACAAGCAAATCATCCACAAACATCACTTTGCACTTATCCGAACTTACTAGAGAGTATCTGGTGGTCCAATAACAAGAACCTCCCATTTGTAGATGTCATCGTCGTTTACGAGTCCAGCGGAAAATCCTTCTACAGGCAACCGCCTCAACTCTAAATATTTCCTTATGAGGAAGTACCTATCTTATGATGCTGGTTATAAGGTATAAAAATAAATACGTGTTTTCACATACAGCATAAAGCGAAGCAATGAGAAGCTTATTTTTCCTAACACCCCATAAAGGCTTCAGTACTGAAACTCTACGTAAACCGCCGCGAGGCGGAGTAGTAACGTACCCCGCAAGACTTCACTCCCGCAGTATTCAGAGCCCCGAAATTGGTTCTCATTCTTTATCCACTGTATTCACAACATTTAGGAAGATGGTTCCTTCCCCGCTTGAGATGAGACTGCGTAAATGGCGAATATTTTTCAATGTCTCCAGGCCATAAACTCAAAACCAGAATCCCAAACTTTGTACTTTTAATTCGACTTACAAACACCGATGGGGTCGAAATAAAGAACGTAGAACAGGTTTTTTGCGCTCGTATTTGTTTTGTCGCAGCAAGCAAATCCTCCTTTTAAGGACTTGAACGGCTCAATAAAGACAGAGAGCAAAAATCAAAGCACACACTTCCAAAAAGGAAAGTAGAAGAACTTACTTTGTGCCAGCGTGAAGGACTGGAATAATAATAAGAGTATGCAGGAAGAGCTTTCGAGAAAAAACACTACAGTTAGCGCTATTTGTGGAAAACTTAAAAGAGATTGCAAATAAACGGTCTAGACTTTTCGGACCAAACTAGGGATTATCATAAGAGGTTTACCCGCGTAAGGATAAACGAAGTGGCGATGGTAAACACTACAAGGCGATAAATGAGGAGAACTCTTCTTTGAATAGATGCGAACTTGATGCAAACCTCACTTATAATGAAATGGATTCCAACCTTAAATCAAGCAAAAAATTACAGCTCGAAAAAGAACACCTTGATACGATAGAGTTATGTTTTGATAAAACAGATTCTTCTAGCCCTATCATTCCCGCTTCTCTTTTTAAAAAGAACTCATGTTATCTGCTTCGACACTTATGGCGAGGCTTTCAAGACTTTTATTCCCAGGAATGAATCCGAAATTTGGAAGTTCTAGAAGAGTATATATGAAATATTGAACTACTTCTCGATAAGTTTACTAGAGCACAGCAATTTTAATTAGATATCAAGTACTTCAGTTGCGTCAAGGGAATCTCTCTCCAGTGAAAAGAGCACATAGTGAAGAACAAGCGTCTCTAAACGAAAGCACAGGCATTCTTAGAAAGGAAAAAAAACTGAGAAAAAGAACTAGTTTTTCTCTCTGAACTATTCGTCTTTTGCAAAAATTTCTTGACAGCGCCTTACAACACAAGGCTGAACAGCTAATAACTCGAAAATACCTCAGTTTTCGTGGTTCCAGAGAAAGATACGCAACGATGGTGAGCATTACGAGGACGTGAGGAAGTTCATAAAACCATAAATCACATCACAAGAAAGGAACAAAGCGTGAAAACAGACTGCGCGATTTTAGCCAAGGTGAGCAGCAGCTTTTACGAGGTTATTTTCGAAAAAGACCATCTTTGAAAAAGGAACCAATCAAGAAGAGGAGCAAAGATATCACAAAAGTCGACTCAGAAAAGGAAAGAAGACAAATAAGGCTTTTAGGAGATGGACAGCTGAGAAACTGCTTCACTACAACACTTACGTCACCATATTGAAAGAAACTCAAAGCACTCNTTGTACACCAGGACAGTAGATCCCATCACTTTTTGTACACTATCATACAAATGAACTAGAAGTTCAAGCTTGGAATGTTCTTAAAAGAAAGCGGTATAAGAGTGGTGTGCCATCAATCAAACAGTAAAAACAGATAATGTTAGATCCACACTAAGCCGAAAACTGGAAGTGGAAATGGCTACGGTATTAAAGTACGACTGCTCATTTATGGAATGGACTGGGAGCTTGTTCTCATCCAGAAAAATATCTGTTTTACTACTTGCCGGGACTAATGATAGTCATGAACCAGACGGAATTGATTCGTCAGCACATCGATTGATTTTTCTAAGAAGACCTAATTATCTTTGAAATCGAAACTTATGTCACCTAGTGGAGGAGGCGATTCGGGTTTGTGTTCTGAGCGACTGCCTTCAGTACTTCCTATTAAAAAAAAGGAAAAATGATAGCTAAAATAATCCTAAAGTAGTGGTCACATTCGGCAATGGCCAAAAAGGGTCTTCACCAAAAAGGGAAACTTCATCGTCAAGTTGAGCTGGATAAATTTCACCTGTCACAATGCGCAACCTACTTTAAATCATGATGACACCCCCAGTTTTCTTCTCGCTTCCCTTCCTCTACGTTCATTTTGATTCTGCCGATCTGCCACCCAGCAGCGATGGACAGCACGGCAACCGGCTTTTCACTGCCGCTATGTGCAGCTGCAATCGTCGCTGCAGTTATGCTCTACTGGTGCGGAATAGTGTAAATAGAGATACTTTTCAATAGAAAAGATGAAATGATAGGGTTACCCGATTTGGATCCCAAATGAGACCTGTTCCTTCTGAGTGCGTACGCCACTTATATAAAGGTTCGTGGCAACCGAGCACAAGCCAGGAGTTATCACTCTCAGACCATCTAATCAACAACAGCGAGAGATCAAAACCTTGGTTGCTCTAGAATTTAATATCCAAACAGTAAATGTGGTAGCGGCACCACTCGCCAAAACCAAATCTTTGCTAAGCTGTGCTCTAGCTAGTCACGAAAGACCAGCTGGTCATTTCTGATCACTGACGATACTTTTTTGTGAATTCGCTATCTATTGTCATTCTATTCTATTGCACGAATCTACTGATCTTTGTTTTATAATATCTTTCATCAGCGCATAGCACTCGAGAAGACTAACTGTAGCCTTATAATGAATAAAGAGCAAACGATCACGCTTTTTCGGACGATCCTTTGAAGCACTTTGCCGGGGAAGTTTTGGAAACCTTAGCCACTCTTACTACACATACACAATGCACTACTAACTAGGTTTATAACCCTCCCTTTTGAAAAGGTACACCCTAAAGTTACAAAATAAGAGCACATGCAAAACTGAAGGTTCTTCTGTCATCATGGGCTGGTGTGGTGCGGTGGCCAGTGTCTGCTATCATTCATACATTGACCTGACTTCAACCCCTCGATCGATAGTCGCCCCGGTCAACCGAGCCTTCCATGTCCCCACGGTCAATGAATCCCAAAATACCCATTCCAACGCCATTCGATTGTGAATGGAAGTTGAGTGCGGGGCGCATCCAAGGGGGTTTATTAACGCCAAAGACATAGTCATTCATCCGTTTATGATTATGACTTCTGAATCTTCATTTGAGACATCTTGTCTATGTGTTGCCTCACGCCAGAACTCGCTCAGTTAAAGAGCCCAGCCCGCGCATTAGTACACAGTGGGGAGAACTTACTGTGAAGCTTCTTGAATAAGCGAAGCTTTGGTTAAGGATGAAAATGATTTCCAGCACATACCCAACTATGTGTATACAGCACAAATGAAACCCAGCTAAACCAAGGAAAAACCGCTGGGCAACCTCTCAAAATGCGGAGACTCGATCAATAAAACCCATGGGTAAAACAGTGGGGAGCTTGATGAAATGGCTGGAAGAGTACCAATGGTTCTTGGAATGAAGTAGGGAAATATTGTTTCTTGTTCCCTAGCCGGATCAGATGATAGTGTAAACGCTTTTCGGTCCAAAACGCTTAGACTGGCCACAGCTTAAGAGATGGGAAGGAAGAACTAAGCATGGACCGCATGAGATTCGCCTGCGGACTTGAAAACCCATTGATATCACGATGTACTACTGGATACTGTTGCAAACAGTTGTTCTAGAAGCTTCCACGACTCTTGTAGGTATTTCTAGCTTTAAGTCAAGACAGGAAGTAATCGATTGCGTACAAGTAGAATGTGGAAAACTGACCTGCAAGTTGTTTCTTCAAAAGTAGAGAGGCTTGTGGTTCGCCCATCACTGTGACCCGGTTTAATCAAGGAGAAAACTACCTGCTAAGCTCCTATAAAAGACATCTTATTAATGAAACTACCGAATAGAACCGAATTAATAGGAGTGTTCATCGCGACGATGGTGGTAGAATGCCTCAGGGAAGGTTTCAAATAACATTAAAGTTGAAAAAAGCTAAAAGAACGTCTTGAAGGCATCGATGAGACTCCTGACAAAATCACTTGATCGCTACCAGCAAATTTCTTATTAAAGGATGAAACAAGTGGTCCTGTACGGAATCCGTCTTGACGGCCGCTCGTGATGGCCAGCCAGCTTCGCTTCGGGGCAGAGACTTGCCCTTCACCGCGGCAAGATTTATTTCTCGAAATTTTTACTTTTTAATTGTTTTGCTATCTGGTCATCCAGGGTTTCTAGCTACTAGAGTTCATCTTGGGAGAAGAGAATGGAAGGAAATGCTCCATTCTGGTGTTCTGTACCGCGATTGATTTATTTATTCCATTCTTCATTGTGAAGTTAAGTAATAATCCGATGTTTTGCTTTATCAAGTCTTTGAATGAATTGAATTTGTGAAAGGAGCTGTTAATATTGGATAATATCGCTCTTTTTGTGCTAACATTTAGGAAATATAGAAAGTAAACAAAAAGGATTATCAAAGGCCTCTGACAGCCCTTCTGTTTTTCTTATTGTCAGAAGTAATTCTTTATTGGTCTGTGTTTTGTTTTCTGCTTTTGTCAATAGGTTAATATCAATTATGAGCTTTTATTTGAAGCATGACGATGGAGGAAACGTTAGTTCCGCTTAATGAATTAGTATAAAGACTTAATCTTTTTATTTAAAATCTTTTCAATACCTTTGTGGTTCCTCGGCCTGAAACAATGACAGTAACCCTTTCATTAGATAATCATATAACCCCGAACCTGTCTTAGTTTTGAGTTTCATTTTATTGTGAATTCATACAATGATAGCACCAGTTGTTCGGTGTCAATCGTGGGTCGCGAAAGGTAAGAAAAACGAAGTTTTTTT